CCAAACCATCCTGTGATTGTGTCTTCTGAATAATGCCATCTTAAAGTCATGTTACCTGTAACTATTGCAGCAGGTACTTTCTCCACTGTTTAAGCAGGTCTTACATTCTTAGATTAATCTATGTTTTGAACAGACAGGCACAGCCCCCTCTTGCAGTTTAGCAGCCCTTTTAGGCCCTTTGCGCGTGTTCGGCCCACAAGCGCTCCATGCCATTGAAGTGTCACAGCGGATAATCACATATCTGAATGGACAAGTGACAAGTGGGCCGCTGCTTCACTGACTACCAGTGCTGTTGGATTGAAACTGCAAACAAAGGCCGGCGTTCTGAATGCTTCTGATGCTGTGGCAGATTTTCAGGCCTGTGGAAGTTTCTGCCGCAGGAATTTGTAACCACTCAGTGGATTTGAGGGCGGAGTGGAGAAGTAAATGGAAGAAATGACACCACTGGAGGGTTATACATTACCCAGCTCTGGTGATGTCTTTGAAAATAAGATGCAGAGTATGTGGTGGAGGTGGGATGTTACTGTACTTACTCAGTTCTAGCTGGCCTGTAGGTATCTGCTTTTGACTGTAGTTTAAAATAGGATAGTGATGTGTTTAGGCCCTTGGTCCAGCCTGCCATCATTGTTACTGTGTTTGGGTAACCAGTGAGAGGCCATTGAATTTTCAGAAATTACAGGTATTTTTAACTGTTGTATAATTATTGCTTATACAGGAGACTTATCCAGTCATGGTGAAGTTGGATTTGGTGTGTTGTAAATGTCTTCTGTATTCACTCTTTGCTGCTATTCAGATCAACAGCCTCACCCTCCATGTGTGTCCCATTGTAGCACACGGCTTTCTCTCGTAGCTTTGTCTAGCAAATTCTTTTGAGTCTCTATGTGCAGGATATGAACGTTTAAATAAAATAGTTCGGCTTTTATGTAGGATTTGTCTTCTTAAAAATGGCATATTTTTCTCTATATTTTTATTGCTTGCTTTAAACAAAAATGGGTTTATAGATTATATTTATATGGATAATATGTTTCTCAGGTGGTTGTCATTAGGTGAAGGGGAGCTTAGGACTTGTTTCTGTTGCTACTTTTCCCTCTTGACTAAAGCATTTTATGGAAGCTGGAGTTGTAGCTCCTTCCTGCTTTGTCTTCTCTTCACGTCCAAATGTGTGAGTGTCTTCTAAAGAAAGAAGCCTTTAAGATCCAAGTAAGAAATCAATTTATTTGATCACATAGTACAGCTTGAATTTGGGTGCTGGGGTTTTTTTTTAATTATTTTTTGGTGTTTAAGAACTTTTTCCTTCTTAGGTGCCAAGTTAATGTAGTAGTGTGCCAAAATTGTTCAGGTGGAAGTACTAATACAGTGGTTACTGGACTAATGTAGTCTGGTTACATCTTCAGTACAGTAGCCGTGAAGTCTTGTCTGTGGTGATTGCGCAATCTCTGGCACCTCTTAAACCTCCGTTTGTAAAATACTACTTGTAACTTCTCTCTTACAGTGAAAAAGAAGATGACGAAAGTGAAAAAAGAGAAGAACCTGGGGACAACTGGGAGGAGACTGGGGGTGCTGTAGACAGATCATCTGGTCCTTGGAACAAGTCAGCTCCTGCACCAGCACCTGTCGTTGAACCAGTTGGTAAGTGTAACTCAGAGTTGTTCTTTCCAGTCGGCAGTGTATCAGGGTGAATTAAGCTGCTCAGAGGGTAGAGTTCCTACTCAGTCACCTTCTAACCTGCTAATGGCTTGTTTGGCATTCTGGTGAATGAGGAAATTTTCCTGTCAGGGGATCTGAGGAACTGAATTGATAGTACCGTCAGATACTTCAACCAAACATGAATGGAGAGTTCTTAGTTCTAACTTTGACACAGGGAGAGGCAAGCAGTCCATCTTTGAAAGAGATCCTTCTGCTTTGCAGCCTGCAAAATATCTGTTGGAAGCATTTCTGTTGATCCAAACATATTGCTTTGACACTTAAGTGGATGTTCAGCCCATATCTCCTCTCTGATAGGGCAGTTCTTGAGTAGGGTTCCATGGTCAGGAGTATGCTTTTTGAATCTGTTCTGGGGTGCAGAGAACATGACACTGCAAAACTGATTCTTTTCCTGGGATAGGAAAACTAAAAAATTTAGTTTTTACTAAATACAATTTATTAGCATCAGTGGAGATAAACTACTTAGCTGTGATCTGAGTCCAGATTATTCTCTTCCATTGGGGAATTCCCTGAAAAGTGGCCTGCTCTGATTTTTCTGGTTTGTACAGGCAAGGAGGCATAGTTACTCAATCAGTGTTATTTCATTGTGGATCCTTACCTTAAGTACAAACTATTTGGCTTTTCTCTTCTGCATCTGGAGAGGTGCTTTAGTAAGAGTTGGAAAATATATCACTATGTGTTTAAATGTCTAGTTTTAAATGTAAGCTGCTAATAAATTGCAAATAAAAACCCAGGAAGGTCCTCATCAATGGTTTTGATTTAAACTTTGTGAGGTGATACACTGGAGCCACGTTTTAATTTGACTACTAGGTATAGGTTACCTTAGGTGACACCCAATTTCCTGCGTTGCTTTCAGAGATGCAAAACCATATAAACCATACGTGTAAGATTCTTTTTTAGCATTATTAGTTGTTTGGGTGGTGTGTCCGTCTCCCCCCACCCCGCCCCGCCCCAGATATGAATGCAAACTTACTCTCTTGTCTAAATCTTGTTCTTCTAACTAGTTACAGAAACCCCAGAACCAGTTCAGACTGGTGGTGTGTACAGGCCGCCTGGCGCCAGGGAGGGCGGCAGGCCACGGAGAGCACAGCAAGGACCACCGGAAATCTATAGCGACACGCAGTTTCCATCGTTGCAGTCCACCGCCAAGCTCGTAGACAGTCGAAAGTAAGTACAGCCACTAATTCCCCAAGAGATATATTTTAACTGCCTTCTCTAGGTTCCTGTTTTTGCTTAGGGCTTAAGCCTGAATCTTGCACAGGGGAAAGAAGTAACTAAGAAATTACCCTGTTTGGCAAAGAGAGAAAGGAGGGAGGTCTTCGTGTATTTTCCAACTCCAGGAAGGGCTTCCCATGAAATAACTTTCATAGGACATAGCCCAGTGAGGTAGCCAGACAAGGCTGCTGGTTACCTTACCTTTGGCTTGCTGAAGGAATTCCCTGAAGCGGAGTATTTCCGCTCTTGGCAGCGTCTGGTTTCCTGAGACACTAGCCATGGTGAGGCTGTGTGTTACTGCCATAGGAAGCGGGATGTCTTGAGCACACTGCCTTCCCATTACACATGTGAAGGTAACTTAGGTGGAGGAACAGGGTTTAATACAAATCCAAAACACTTCAGATTCGTTGATGAAGGCTTTGTGGTGCTGAAGACTTGAGTCTCACCCTGCTTTTGAGTCCCAATCTTTCTGCAACCTCGTTCCCTACAGAAGAGATACTTGGGCCAGTGCCTAAGTCACCTGGGTTTGGTTGGTTTTTGGGTTGGTTTGGGGTTTTTTTTCCCCTGCTTGCTGTGTTACTCACTAATACAGCCTAGCAGAAACTTTTTCTTCTGTGTTTTTTGGTGTGGCTTTGTCAGCTTGGCAAATGAGACATGCTGTCATGGATGCTTTTAGGGTTTGAACAGTGCAAATTGAGCTAAGATGAAATGATCAGTGAGCATTTTAGAAATGGTTCTTCATAAATGCAATTAAATTTACTTCTGAGAATGCTAATGTTGAAATTTAGGATGTAATCTGAATTGTCTTGGGTGATGAGCTTGATTCTTGGAGATCAGGTTTCACAAGATTGGCTTGGGAATGTTTGGCTGTTGTGTTACACCTCTAGACCTTAGTGTAATGTTGCTGTTGGGATGGGGTGGAAATCGACTAGAAATTCACCAGCTAGTGATAAGATACTTACTGATTACATTTCTTTTCCCTTAGGGATAAAGAAATGCAGAAGAGCTTTGAAGTAGTAAAACACAAAACTAGAGGTAGGGATGAGGTCTCAAAAAACCAGGCACTTAAACTTCAGCTAGACAACCAGTATGCTGTGCTTGGGGATCAGTAGAGCTGCACACACCTTACAATTCAGGAATGCTTTTTTGGTAACCCTTCTACTAAGGTAACTAAACTACAGCTAACGGCTATGACGAACATGCCACCTTATTTCTGCTGGATCTACTGCAGCAAGTGCAGACTACTTTGACCTAAGTGATCGGTTCTCCCGCACTATGGAAGCGTAATATGTTACAACTTCTCCATTGGATATGGGGCAAATTAATGTAAATGATTGAGCAAGAGTCATCAGTGTTCTTTAATTGCTCAGAAAGATACCTACAGCCAGTGGTCATTTCAAAATCTTTTTATGTTCAGATACTGAGCCTTCGTAAAGGTTGACTACCTCAGACTTGCTGCACTCATTGTGGACACCATGTGGATCACAACTTCTGGAAGAGAAGGTTACAGCTGTTTTAGTGGCCATCTGAAACTTGAAACCAGCTCTACTGGATTCCTGTCAGAAATCCTGCAGAAGTCAGCCATTTGGTTCCAATTTGCTATAACAAAGATTTAAGTGACCTTAATGACAAACCTGTTCTGTTCCCCTTCTGAGGAATCCTGTCATGCGTAGCCATAGCTGACTAGAGACTTCTGGAGCGTACCATACCACTCATACTGTCCAACTATAACGGAGCTGTAGTTTGTTTACCTTCTTAGATAGCTGTACTGAAGTAACTACAAAACAAATTAAAACTCATTCCCTATCGGATTTGAGGAATGATGGGTTTGAATGGTCTGTTTGCATTAGCCACTTTTACAGTTGTCTGTTTAAGCTTTTTTCCCCCCTCCCCCCACACCCCCTGCTGTTCTCCACCAAAAAAAAAAGCCCGCCTTGATTCTGGTTTCAAGTTGCAGCATATTCAAATAACCCTGAGATGTTGTAGTGAAATAGGGTTTGTTTTGGTTTTCGTCAGGATTGTCTTTCTCACCCTATAGCGCTGAGACTGGAGGGGCCTTGATTTGACACGGAGGTGTCCAGACTCCAACCGCCGTCTGCAGAATTTCTCTGTTAAAAATGGGATGCATGGCGGTAGTGATATGAGATAAAAATCTCTCCTCTGTGAAAAAGTTGGTTGTTTGTTGGAGGGTAAGGGTTACTCGATAACCAAAATAACTTGGCACGCAGAGGGATAAGGAAAGCTGGCAAGCCTGATTTGTATGGCTACTTCTGTGAAGCATGCAGGCTTTTTGAGGCAGAAATCCTCTAAGCAGAACTCGTAACTGGTGTTTATTCACAGTGGGGAAGCTTAGTAATAATGGAAGGCAGTGGCTTCTTTAGGCTCTTACCTCTGACTCCGTTTAGTGGAAGTAGGCGAAGTGGCACTGGCACATTAAGGCTACAGGATGCTGCCCGTAACTCCCATTCGATGAACGAGAGCTGGCAAGTACCAAAAGCGTCCTGCTGTAACTGTTGTTCTCTTCCCTGAATTCTCGCACCAGAAGCAAAACCAAGTACAAGAGCGTTGAGGTTTCTCAGAGTAAATGCCAAAAAATAGACCCAACATCTGTAAGAGTTGCCAATGGCAAGAAAAACCAAGGGAACAACCCAGAACTCACTTAGGCGCATGGGCGTGCTGCGCACGAGCAGAAGGCGAGGACAAGTGCAGGAGTGGGCTGGTTGGGTTCCCTCTGACTAACTGCCGGCTTGCTTTAAGTCTGCTTCTCCCAGGCCAATGGTAAGGTTGCTGTTGACGTCAGTGGGGCTGGGGTTTCACCTGGTTCTTTAGTGCACAGGCGGAAAACGGCCTTGCCCTTGCGGCGCTAAGTGTCTCCCAAACTTCTGCTAGGAGCTGCTATTACAGAGAGGGCTCGAGAGACTATTCTTGAAGTTGGAAACTTCGTTTGGAAAGGGAAACCCACTGCAAGACTGACCCCAGTACCTTGGGCTCTGAGCCGCATATCTTCCTTGAAAACACGTTGTTGCCAGCAAAACTGATAATTTGTCACTTGAGGTTTCTGTGGAATTTGTGGTAAAGGGACATGTTGCTTGATGTGGTAGAAGCGTGAGATCTTCAATCGCTCTTCCCGATGCTCCGAAGTGGTTGAGATGACCAGTGCGCGCGAATCCGGTTCTAGTCTACTGTGTGAAGGGGAGCTGGGACTGTCCGTTGTACCGCCGTTGCGTGAGGTTTGGGGCATGAATTCTGGCAGTTCAAGAAAACCCTGTAACAGTTGCAACTCGAATAAAATGGAAATATACATGGATTCCGGAGTCTAATGAATCTTTACCTTCAGTCGTAGCTTGCGACCATCCAGCGGCTGAGGAAAGGCAGAGCATTTGGATCTCTAGAGAGCGAGGCCGTGGAGCGGGTAGTCAGCCTTACGGTCAGGCGGGAGCCTGCAGCAGGGCGTCTTCACGTGACATTAACTATTAATACCTAGAAGTTAAGGTTGCTCCCTGTCAGAGTCGTCTTACTCCTTCCGCCCCCACCCCGCACGGGACTCGTTGGAGATGGTGAATGAAGCTTTGATTTGCTTTCTCGCTTGAACGCAGCTCTGCCAGATGAAAGGGTGAGGGGAAAAAAAACACCCCTGGTTGGCTGCTGTTGGCAGAGTCCGTCAGCTCCTGATAACTAGAGGGGTTATTTGGTGGGCTTTTTGTAAGCGTATCATTCCAGGCTCTTTCTGGAGGCATAAAGGAAAGAAAAAGGGGAAAGGCAGCGGATTTCCCTAGTATGGAACGTTAAACTGTTCCAAGTATTTGTGTTAGCCAGCAGCTCTCAAAATGCCGGGCGCCAGTATCTTACTCGCAACAATTAATTGTTCCACGTGTCTGGAACTTTGGAAGTCAGTCCTCTGCAGAAGCTCAGTGTGCTTCCGAGACTCTCAAGTCCAGCTTCATCTGGTTTGCTGTCGCACTCCCGCGAGGCGTGCTGAGAACGCCCGTTCCATTCCTTCCAGACGCTTGGCTGGAGTCTCGCTCCATAAACGAAGGGCTGTCGGTTGTAGAAACGAGGCTCTCGGAAGCGGTCGGTGAAGCGCACTCCTGCGCCGCTTCAGGAACTTCCTGACCGGTAACGTGGTTTTACGGCGGGTCAGTCGTTAACTTCCAGCATAAAGGTTCCCTTTTGCTTCTGCTGGCTTAGAATAAAAACCCAGCCGTGAAGTTAACGACTTGCTAGCCAAACATTGAAACCTTCCAGGACATAGAAGGGAACAATTGGGATTTGTGGTCCTCAGTGATACAGTCTGTATTTAAGGAGTGTCAGAATAGTGAAAACGAGGTAATTTTAATCAAGCTGAAGTTCCCAAATGCCCACTGTATGAAATGTGGGCAGATGTATGGCATCTGTATTTACTTAATGATAGCGATGGGGGCGAGGGTTAGTTGTGCTCCCTCCCTGCTTCAGCTTAACCTTGTACGCAAACGAAGAGGAATCGACAGCCAGAAGTGACTTGTCTCCTGACGCTTCGGTTCTGGTTTGGTAGCTCGCTTTACCCGTCACGTCCAAACTGGCTCTCCTACAACGCTTGGGAATGGATGGATTTTTACTAGTCCGAGCTGTGTTAGAGAGACCCGACACTGCAGGGATGGGGGGTTGGTATCCGACCGCATCCGTTGGCTCGCGCACACGCAGCATGGCTGAGACACCTGTGCTGTCTCAAGTAAACACCCTATAAATCCCATAGGGTTGCACGTCTTGGAGTTTGCTGATCTGAGCTTTTGCCACACTTCTATCTTTTTTTCAGCCTCGTTGAGCAGTGTTAAACCGGCCCATGGTTTTCTGCCAAATACCGCAACTAAAATGGAGCAGATGAGTCTTTTTTCAGACTAACAGAGCTTCATGTACATAAAAGGGGCCGGTTTACTAATATTATTCTTGCCAATACTGCCTAGGTCAGAGAATGAACACCTTGTATTTTACGTGACCTTCAGGGGCCCAAGGAACAAAATTTTACCAAAACCATCTCAAGTACTTAAAAATCATTATGAATAGCCACAATCCAGATTTTATCGCCTGACTGTAACCTAGTTCCCAAATTGTCCCTCTCTGTTTTCAGCTTTTAATTTCACAAACTGCTTTTAGTGGTAAGTAGGGGCTTTATTTGAGAATATAGAATCACAGAATGGTTT